TCCACTACTCCTCCTTACTAGTTTATCTTCTGATTGTGTGTCAGAAATGACTAAATCTGGTAATCTACCCCCTAATATGTCGGAGAAAAACTTGAGAAATTTAATGAGTTAGATTTTAAGCGTTGATAACAGAAAATATTTTCTATCAGACAACATTAAGTTTGAAATAGTTTCTTAAAGAAGATGCACCTTCATATAAAGAGAATAAAAGTAACAGAGAAATAAGCTGTAGTTGATGCATGGGAGTACACAAATTTTCTATATAGAGACTACGTACTCAACGGGCTGGACAACACATTGTATAATATGTACTGCAATATGAAGTCTGTGAAAAAATTATGGAAATATTTAGATAGCAAATATAATACTGAGATGTGATACGAAGAAATTTATTGCTGGTAATTTTTTGAATTACAAAATGGTTGACGCAAGATAGTCATATCTCAAGTACAAGAATTTCTAATAATACACAGTGATATCCATGCCAAAGGAATGAGGCTCAGCGATTCATTCCAAGTTGCAGCACTAGTTGAGAAATTGTCACCTTTATGGGAAGAGAATTGCTCGAAGCATAAACACAAGAAAATGGAGATTGAAGATATCATTTTTCGATTGAGAATAGAAGAAGATAATCGTAAATCTAAAAAGAGGAGTGGTGGACATCAATCAATGAAATCAAATGCCAATATTGTGGAATTAGGTTCCAAGGCTAACAATTAGAGAAAGCACAATGGGAAAGGAATATTTGATTTTTCAAAATGCTCCTAAAAAGTTCAAAGGCTACTGTTATAACTGCAACAATGTGGGACATTGGCCCAAGGATTGTTGGAAGTCAAATAATGTTAAGGGACAAAATGCTCATGCTTATATAATAGAAAATCACAACCTTTTTGACAATGCATGAGATATAAATCTTTCTACGATTGCCTCTAAATACAACTTAGTAGGGAATACTAAAGAATGATAGAGGATACTGAGCTACTCGTCAGATATGTGCAAACTGTTGGATGTTCTCTATTTACAAGGCAATGGATCATAATGACCAACTATACATGGAAAGCCCATCATCTTCAAAAGTTGAAGGACATGAAAAGATCATGCTAAAAATGACTAGTGGGAAGGAACTTATATTGAACGATGTTCTTCATGTACCCAAAATTTGTAAAAATATAGTATCGAATCTTTGTTAAGCAAGAAAGGATTTAAGTTAAGTCTTTGTATCGGACAAATTTGTCCTTACTAAACATGGTATGTTTGTAGAAAATGGTTATCTAAATGAGGGGCTTTTCAAAATGAATGTAATGAGTGTTGTATCTCCAACTATGAATAAAATTATACTTCTTTTTACTTGCTTGAGCCTTTTAATGTTTGGCATGAACGATTATGACATATGAATTTTAATACTTTGCATAGATTATCAAATTTGATTTTTTACCAAAGTATGATTAGGATCCTAGTTTTACTTGTGATATAAGTGTTGAAGCCAAAATGACTCGTTTATCATTTCATTATGTTGAAAGAAGTATTGAACCCCTAGATTATCTCACGCCGACCTTTTTTTTTTATTTAATTTGTTCAAACTAGAAGTGATAAAAAGTACTTTATCACTTTCATCAATTATTACACTCAATATTGCTGTGTATTTCTCAAATGCAAAGACAAGGCAATTGAAATAGTTAAACACTACAAGTTGGAGGTTGAGAATCAGCTTAGTAAAAATAAGGTAATAAGAAGTGATAAAGGTGTTGAATATGATTCTTCATTTGAACAATTTTGTTTGGAATATGAAATTTTTTATCAAATAACCTCACTTTATTCTCCTCAATTTAATGAAATTGTTAAACGCAAGAACAAGACACAAAATGAGATGATAAATGCTATGTTAATAAGTTCGAGATTATCGTAGAACTTCTGAGGAAAGCCTTGCTCTTCGCCAATTATATTCTCAATAAGTTGTCATATAAAAAAAAATGCACAAGATATCTTAAAAATTATGGAAAAATCACAAATCTAACTATAAATATATAAAGGTACGTGAATGTTTGGCTAAGGTAGTAGTTTCTAAACCTGAGAATGTTAAGACTTGACGTAAGACCACTGATTTTGTATTCATTGGTTATGCCTACCGTAGTAGTACATACATATTTATTGTATATGTTTGAAATTGTCGATATGCACATGATATGATTAGTGAATCGATGGATGTTATATTTTTCCTTATAACATGCAAAGTGAATCAAATTCTCTAAAGAGACCTTGCAATAATGATGTGACTATAGATCAAGAATCTATACACGCGGAACAATACAGATGTAGTAAGAGGTCTAGGATGACAACTTCCTTTGGACTTGATTTTTAAACATATTTATTAGAAAATGAACTTCAATTTTATAAAGAGGCTATGCCATCTATTGAAACTTCATATTGCTAAGAAATTGTTCATGGTGAAATCGAATCCATCATACGTGGAAGTTAGTAAACCTTCCACCCGGCAATAAGTCACTAGGGTGTAAATG